TTTGTTTCTGGGGAACAATGATGGGGTGGGAGAGGGGAGAGAAGGAGAGTTTGGGAAAGGAGAAGAAGAAGGCACGGACATGGCGACACTACCCACTGCAGACTCAGCCGACCAAGGCCTGCGATTTCCACAGCTCTGCCTGGAAGAGCAGCCTCCAGGCACCGTGCTGAGGGAAGATGAGAACCCGGGGCAGTGGAAGTTCAGGGTGAAGGATGGGCAGAGTCCTGAGGGCCGTGGCTGCAGGGCCCACAGGATAAGAAGCCCAGCCAGAGCAGGGCAAGGCAGACTCGTGGCTCTGCCTAGCAGCAGGAGGAATGAGGTGTGTGTGTGTGTGTGTGTGTGTGTGTTAACCATCATCTTTTGATCATCATGACCAATGAAACATTTACTACAAGTCTCCAGTTCTTTATTTCCTGAATTTGTTTTTTTTTGGGGTGACTGGTAGAAAGTTCTAGAAATTTATCCGCCTCCCATCTGGTAGCAGGTGTCTCTTAATTTTGCCATCCATGTATCTGAGGTGCTGGGAGGGGTTGGTTCAATTATGCTGGCCTTTGGCATAATTTGTTTTCCCCTTCTTTTAAACCCTTCCTTTGGGTTGTTCCTTACTGGATTGAGTGTAATGAATTGATAAGAAAAGAAACCCAATCTTCCTTTCTATGGACTAACATATGGTCCCCAGGATTCATTTTAAGAAAGAAGTTGCCTTAATCTGTTAGGCTGCTATGACAAAACACCTTAGTCTGGGTCCTTTATAAAGGGAAGAGATTTATTGCTCACACTTCTGGAGTCTGGGACGTCCAAGATCCTCTGGTCAAAGCTGCTCTCCGCTCAGTCCTCATATGGCAAAAGGGTAAAATGAGGGTGAAGCCCTCATGAGCTCATCACCTCCTGAAGGTCCTACCTCTTAATACTATTGCATGAGGGGAGGTTTCGACATAGGAATTTGGGGGGAACCTCAACAGTCAGACCCTGGCAGAAGCCTTTCTCACCCTAGGAGCTTTGGGATTCTCAGTGAGTCACAAAATGTGAGCAGGAAAATAAAGTGTTTGCTAGTGGCAGGCAGAAGGAGCCATTCAGTACCAGCAGTCATGTTCTCCAGGACCAGCACCAAGGCTGGAAACAGAAGCCCCTCTCACTCCTCCCCTGCAAACAGGAGCAGGAGGGCAGTCTGCTTGACCCGGGGCCCAGGGCATCGCTACACCCTGCCCTGCACACTGTGGAGTTTTGTACAGCTTTGCAAATAAACTCTTTGATATTGCCTTTTGTTTTTTCCACCAGTGGTATTGTAATTTAGCCTTGTTTTAGGAAAGGAAAACTGGAGGATCAACATTGATGGTGGTGATGAAGAAGAAGGAGGAGGCGGCAGCTAATGCTTTGAACGCTCTTACTAGATGCCTAGAAATTTTCTGAACTTATATGTTACTATCTCATCTAATTCTCACACCGGCTGGAGGAGAAACTTATTCTTATTATCCTATTGTGTAGGAAAAGAAATTGAGGTATAGAAAGCATCACTCTTGCCCAAATTCACAAAGAGAGTTAAGTGGGAGAACAGGGACTTGAATTTGGCAGCTTGCTCCCAGGGTCTGTATTTTTAGCCACTGCACTGTGCTGCTTCTTTTTAAAACACTTTTTATTGGTTCATTGTAATAATACAGAACGTTGGAACTCATTGTCATATTCATACATGCACACAATATAACATTATAATTTGGCTAACATCCTCATCCTTTCCCTCCCTATCTCCCCCCACCCTTCCTCTACTCTACTGGCCTCCTTCTATTTTCTGTGCTGCTTCTTGACACTTCCAAACTAGGCTGTGAGTCCTAGATGAGTGTTTCTGAAACTGTGAGATATGACTCATTGGATTGTGAGCTCAACTTTATTGGCCCTACCCAATCTTCCTTCCTTCAGAATAGAACAGAAAACTAAACATTAAAATGCATTTCAGGTAATAAGTACTTTTTTCCACACTAATTGAGTTTCAATTTTAGATTTTGTGTATGTATTTCTAGCATGCTGCATAAAACATAATATATATATATATGTATGTATGTGTATGTATATATACATATATATATTTAAATTGGGGGTGGCAATCAGACCCCTTTGAATGAGCATGGAGACAGGATGTCCACTAAGCCCCAGCACCTGACCCTGAAATTTCAAATTATGTGCTCTGCATGGGGCACCTTCAAACCATTGGGAAACAAATCCTGCCTTGAAAGTGTTTACAAATGGGGCAGGAAGCTAAGTGGCAAGGCCATGGTTTTTAAATTTCCAATTTACATCAAAATCTCTCTGAGATCTTGATAAAGTATGGGTTTCTTTGCCCTGGGAGTTTGTAAATGAAAATAATTGACTAGGCTTATTGAAATAGGGTCTTTTGAGGACCCCATCTGCCCTGGAACCTACAATTTAGCAATCAATTTCCGTTTTTTTCCTTTTAAAAAATGGTTTAGTAAGATTAAATCTTATTTTAAATTACTTCTGGTAATTGGCAGGACTTATACTAAGTTGGTGTACTCGTTGTTGACCGCTGTTACCTGTCCTCATCTGCCAGTGTCCCTCTGTTTGGCTGCGTACCGGGCCCTTCCAGCTGCACAGCCCCTTCCCTGGGATTCTCAGGGCCTCCCCACAGTCCAGGAGCTGAAGGATTTTGGCACCGCAGGGGGCCTCTGAAGACTGTCACCTAAGCCTGACAGCAGCCATCTGTTCTTATTGGTTGTTAAGGACAGTATTTATTTATTTTTAATTAACAGATAAAATTATATGATTCATCATGAACAATGTGATGGTCACAGTTTGAACGTTCTGAACAACAGAAAACTCAGCCACAGGCAACGCATCCAAGGGCAAGAGGATGACAGGTGTCTGTCAACTGGAGTGGGAGAAGCCTTCCTGGAAGAGGGAGCCTGGGAGCACAAGGACACTTCCAATAGGCAGAGCAATAGGAAGAGGCGGGCTGGGGCGCAGTGGGTGCTGTGCTGAGCGCTGGGGCAGGAGCTG